CTATTGTCTCCCTCTTCTATAGCAAATGCGAGTGTTTGTTGCGTTGGAGTAGGCCAACGTGTTTCGAATTTTCCTACTGCTATTTTCCTTTTTCGAAAATATCTAGTGAACAACTACAAACTCCACCTGTAGCACCCATGGCGCAAATAGTGATTTGGCGTCGCCACACTACTGTTGTTCCCATGGGAACGCGTCTGTATCAGTGCTGCCATTGGGCAGAAGTCGTTGCAACTACAGTCCCCAATGTACGAATACCATTTCCACCTACGGTTCAGTTGCCTAACTGAACGCAAAACTCAACTAAACTAACAATAGTGTAACTATTGCATAACAGGGTCGGTTTCCGTTTGTGGAAAAGGTAAGCTGGTCGTTCGTCCAGCGTCGGCTAGTTTCGTCGGTAAAAAGGTGAAATAAAGAGGTAAAATAAAATACCTGAGAACTGCGCTATCGCCTTTGCAGGCACCGCGAAATACTGGTGACCGTCGTAACACTCGCTGGTACCCGCGATCCTCGTTTGTTCTTTGGTTCTTGCGTCAAGAACCGATTTTATGTTTCGTGGCAACGCGAAAAATGGGCCAAACTGCCGCAAAATGTGTGTCTTGTTCAAAATTGTGTCGGTTTTCGAGTTAATTTGTGGTTTTTAGTGATAGGTATAGGTAGACGGTGTTGAACTGCTGGTGGAATACTTTTCAACTCATTGAGAACGGGTTTTTTTGAAACTGTGTCAAAAGGTTGGTTAATGACTGAATTAAATTAAAGTTTTCAGTTTTATATAAGAGTTTTCCTTTACCTAAGACTCTTTTGGCTGTAATTAATCCCTAGCTATGTTGGTTGATTTGCCAAATCTCTATTGACTGTTTGACTGATCCGCGCTCAGATCCATCGCGCGATTATTTCGTTGCACCATTCCATAAACAATTTTAGAGGTCAGAAATTAATAACATGTAAATCTTTAGCTGGCATTGAACAGCGAAACAATTAGTTTTTGTTTAATTAGCATCTGCGATGCGTTTTCACCCGTTCCAGCGACTTGATGAGTTTCCATTCTAAAATCAAGCGCTGCTTCGCGTGTTGTCAACTTAAACAATTTTATGGTTAATAAACAAATCGTCAATAGACGCTCACAATTGCACCTTCAGAGTCAGAAGGTTTTTCAATTGTTGCTTACAAATTCTTCAGCAATCAGTCGAGTCATCTTCGTCATTGTAAACTGCGGGCAAAACGCCATCAATATGCATCAGGAAAGTAACACTAAACAATCATATCTTGGCCTTACTGTGACACGTCGTTTACAATAGATGTTGCGTCGTTTATCGACGTCGAATGTTCCTGGACTTTCATCCAAAGCCCCCGTTCCAGATATTGTCGAGTGTAAATCGTTCTCGTGTTTAATTTCAGCCCAGTTTGCATTCGTCGAGCAGAAAATTCAATTATATCGGGGCATGTTGAAAGAATTAAGGAAAACAGCTCAAGTGGTGAAAGTGAAAGCAATGCATTGAAAATGAGAGAGAAAATTGAAAACTAGTGTTGATCGCACCCCGTAACAAAGTCGACCCTAGCGAAAAGTGCCGAATTCGTTCGTCTACTTTCGGCCCTATGGTATCAGTAGTGATCAACAACCGGTAGCCATGGTAACCAGTCTATTTTGCCCCTTAGGGCTGATGTACGAGGAACGATCAATGGTCAATTTGCACAACAAACACAATATCGATGTTTATATAAAAATGAAAAATGTTTTGTGCGTCACAATTCCCATTCAAATCGCATTAAAATTCTTGGTGATAGTGACGCCAGTATCTGCATGAGTTGAGCACGTTCCAACTTCCGATGATTTTTTTAATGTTAATAATCATTGTTGCACGTATGGTTTGTCATCAGGTAGGCGACAAGTGGAGGAGCTGTATTAAATATTCGGAATATCTAAATTCTAACTGAACCTTTTGAGTCAGTGAATTGAATAGCAGATGCCCATTTTCTCATCGTAATTAATTAATGAAGAGCACCTTCGGATAATAATCCGGCATCAGATGTACGGACTACGTCAATTTGTTCTTCAATTCGAATCAGCGCACTTTCAAGCTCAATGGTAATTATGGAATTTTTCTCCATTAATTGCAATAAAATAGTTCTTCCGCTTCCCCAATTATCCGAACGGTAAATCCATTTTACTTTTTTCATCTAACGACCACTTTATGGCTTCGTGCCCATGGCCATAACGAAAAATCAATAATATGTGAGCACTTCTGGCAATCGGAATCTGATACGAAAGGAATATTTAGTGAAACGCTTCAAGTCTTCAGTGGAACAATCTTCTGCTATGTCTTGCACTTTTACCGTTGCTAATCTAGGAGTGTCACATTAGGTAGTTAGCTATCTAATTAGAGCAAATAGGCACGAGTATGAAACAATTAGAGATAATAAGATGATTTTTCGTGCACTATTTGCCAGAAAAATGTGTCGCTAACGCATCGCACCTGAACTCAATTCGAGACGAGCTCAATTGAAAATGGCAGAAAAATAATCAAKGAYAACAAAATGATATAGAAAATTTACCCAGTTGAGGAACGAATCTTCTTATGTTTTTCAAACACTTCGAGAATACAGATTTTTGACCGGATGAAGATGCAGATGTACATCAGGAATACACACTTGCTCTAAAAGACCATGAAGTAGGAACACGCGGGAAACGAAAACGTTCATGTAGCTAAATAAAGAATGAATATGCAAGTGTTGATTTGCAATTTTGGCTCATCTTATGAGAATCTAACAAGATTACGAACATTTGCATAAAACTATTCGAGTCCAGTTCCAATGTCTTACAAAATGTGGATGGCCAAAGAACGCACTGCTCGAACCAACTTGCCCAAGGAAAATTTGTTTTCGACAGCCGGTCGTATCCATTTACTACTATTAAGCCATAAAGAAAGCGAATGAGTGTGGAACGTGAGCACAACTAATAAAACATTGTTTCTTCACTAATAACCTACTGGACTGAAACGAAAGGCTGTTAAAAACAGCAAGTAATAAAATATCGCACCAAAAAGTCGAATAAACCTCTCCAAGGCAGATTTGCCAATATCTGAAATAGACGATACGCCCATTTCTTGGTAAAGCCATACCATCGTCATCTCTTCAGAATCTGAACCTCTAGAGTCAAGGCTAACCGGCCTAAGAAACCACAGTGTTGCCGATTACGGTTATTTACTGTTTATTTTTGCGTTTGTTTATCGGTTAATTAAGTGAAAATGAGATTTCAGTTTTGGTTTAATTGAGATTTAATAGCTGGTGCGACAGAGAAACCGGACAAGTCATTGAATAAACAAAGGAGTTTTGCAAATGGAGGCGATGAAACCGGACAGGAACAATTAGTTAATGGTTAAAATTTATCGAAAAAAATGCATTTGCTTTGCGAAGATGCTCTAAACAAATTCACTTAATATCAGTCAAGTGCGACAAGTTACAAACGTCCTCTTAAAAAACTCTCGGTATAGACCTGGCAAAGGCTTCCGACAAATTTTTCCTCGAATCACTGTACAGCAACGATTGGAAAGGGTTTTTGAGCAATTTTCGATGCCTCAGACCTGCTCGAAGCCTGAACTGAGATGCGGATGAAAACAGCATGATAACTTCTAAAATGCTCACGAAGAGAAGTTAGTAGAATGTTCAATAGACTGTGGCGTGGCACCAAGAGCACCAATAGAGCGTGGCAACGTGGTTGTCTTCTCGAGACTGGTTAGCGCCTACTCGAACGGTTTCAGGAATTAAACAAAAGTAATGTTTTACTTTTTCTCCTCGTTTCTATTTGCAGACGTGAATGTGTAGAGTCGAAGAAAGGCCATACGTCTCGGGCAAAATTTTCGCAATTTTGGGCAGTTTTTGAGGCCCAAAAAAGAATAGTTTAGAGGCTGGAAAAATACCTTTGTAAATGATGCTTAGCGCTAATCAGAAGCGAAACTTGTGTTAATTATTGCGGCATGAGTCCTTCTCTTGAATGAAAGTTCTTCTAATCATTACGCCTGGCTTCTTGCATTCAGTAACTGTATGGCTGTGGGATCAATATATCCAATGTCCCTGGGGATTTATGGGACTTCCACCTTAATGCGATGTCCTCTTGATGTTTGGCCAATCGAGGTCAGCGAACCTCTTAAGAGTTCAGGCCCAGTCTTGCAGCATCGTTCAGCAGGAGTTGCTGCCTTTCAAGCCGTTAGGGATCGCTTACTTTTCGGTGCTACGATAACGATATGAGTAGAGGAAATTGGAAACTTTCGAAATATTCACTGGCGAAAACACTTTGAATTCGCGTCGAAGAGAAAAGAGAACAGGGAGACAAGAAGTGCTACACTGTTAAAAATGAGTTGAAAATTCAGTAAGTTTTGTAACTGAAAATTCAGTTTTTGGTTGTTGAAAATAAATTCATGCACATTGTGATTGAATTTTCAGTATTCTTATGAAAAATCCAAAATTCAATAACATGTAACTGAAAATTCAATAACATGTAACTGAAAATTCAATAACATGGAACTAAAAAGTTTTCAGACCTTAACCTATTTGCAGGGACTGAATATCTGTCAATTCGTACTACAACGGACAAATTAAGAAGAAGTTTTTTTTAAAATAACCTTCTTCTTCTTCTTTTTTACCAAAAGTCATTTGTATTTTCAATAACAAGACCTGAATTTTCAGTTACGTATGTGAAAAAAACTTCAATTACATTTGACTGAAAATTCAACCAGATTTTTTTAACAGTGTAGAAGATAATCTTTGCTGTGATGGTGTTGTCTTCAGTAGAAGTTCAATCGCAACCGAAGCTGATGTTAAGTGAAGCGAAGAAGTCATTTCTAGTGTTTTAGTGCAAAACATTCGCATGTGAAGCATTAATAAAAAAAACAATGTTTTCAACCCAGATAGCCAAAAGCACACATAGTTGCAAAATAAAAGCGCCTCATTTTGAAAATCGACGTCAATATTCCCAATAAATTGCCTCCTGGTGCAACAACTACTCGTAGGAAGAAAAAATCATTTTAGGACCTTAACTATGATAAAGTTAAATGGAATCTCCGAACGCTCGTAACACTGTGACGATCGACTTTGCTGAATAAAATGCATCCAAGTCCCCGATTATGCCACTTTAGAAGAAATTGATTCTCTTTCGAGACTGTCTAGGTTTGGAATAAATTAACCGCGTTTAAGAAGTGCTGGCGAAAGCATTTCGATGGGTTCTAGGAGGAGATTGAGGCCAAATGGCTTAACAAGAAATAGTTGTGCATATTTCAAACATTAAAAATCGGTAGAAGCAACCAAACTGTCTGGTGATGAGCCAAAAATTCAACTTTCTAGATTAATAGAATGGACGTTGATACGTAAAATGCGCGCACCATTAAACGTCTTCTTGGTTTGGTTATGGAGATATAAATTTTCAAAAAATTGCCTCCATAGGGTTGTTTGGGACCAAATGATCCAAAAGTCCAAACTGAAAAATGTTGTTTTTGAACAACATGAAACAAGAGACTTCCTGGTTTAGGAGCATGAATAATTTATCTTTTAAGTTGAAATATTGACTTGGCTCTTTCGGAATGGTTTTTCCATCCATAACCTTCTTCTGGTCCTCAGTTAGTTTGAAACTGAATACAAGCGCAAATTGCCTTAAATTGGACGAACCTAAACGCAAAATGGGGGCAAAATGGCGCAAAAAGCTTTCAAATTGCCTCCGCAATAGTGGCAGTAGGCTCTCGAATTTTTTCAAATTACCGTTCCCGTAATACGCAACGGTACTCTATATGGTCGACACAGATGAAGCTTTAAATAAATCTGGGTTACGATTTTACTATAAGTGCTCTTACCGTGATTTTTGTGCGCGGAATGTGGACGCCATCAGGCTAATTACTAACTCAAGTAGCCGCTTTAAATCTCTTGGGATTTTTCTAGTTAGTTTGGGTTAGTTTGAATTTATTAATTTTCTTGTGATTGTGCCTGGATAAGTTGGACGACTCGTCCAACTTATCCAGAACCTATCAAAATTTCAAATTTTTAAAAATGTTTTTCTATGTTAGGCCAGTTTCCTCGGCCCCCCCAAAACAAAGTTGATAAAGTTTTTTTCTCCTGTTGCAGCAGTAGACTTGGATCTGAGCCAAGACAACGTGCAGGATGCGTTTGTCATTGCTGTGGAACAGCAGGCTCGCGAACGTCTGGAAAGACTTTCGGCGCTGCGAAAAATCACCCCCATCGACATAACAGAGCTGTCCGAACAGGTAAAACTCCCCATATCCTTTTTGCCTAATTTGCTCTGAGAAAATGTTAGTTTCAATTTTCCGAAAAGTTGAGCGCAACTTGGTGGGCCTGGGTAACACTGTGTTGAGTTGCGCTATTGAGTTGTTGCCGCTCTCTGAGTTAACGWGTTATCACTCATCAGTKAATGMGTTATAATTCATTTGTTAARGCAKKTMCSAGACSCGCGACTGGAATTTTCAYATAYAAGAAAGGGTTATTAACATTTTTTATSAGTAACGTTTTGWYTRYTTTGTTCAAACAACTAAAAAAWAGTMATCTAGATCTTCCCAGCRACAGAACTGAGTCCRAAGAAASTCGACGAGTTTTCTTGTAAAATCGATMTYTTAATTTTTTTGCATGAAAGATTCAGTTTGCCAGTATTTTACAGTAAAACGTTAGGAAAAGCGCRGTTTTTCTGYKTAGAGACAGTGTTGTTCAGAAACTTTGACCTAAAAGTGAAGAAACTCAAGTTTCCWRGGGTTTTCCAAATAAATGGAAAAATAAAATTATAAACTTTCGCTTTTTCAGWTCGGGGAAATATTTTTGRAAAAAGASCTAAAAATWATTATTAGGGTTTTGTCCATAATTSGWMGYTGCAAAAAGTTTCCAAACATTTTTGCAAARCGGTTAAGGAGGCGAGTGTTCCRAWAAARTKTATCTTATAATTTTTCACAGAAAATACCTGAAGTTTGCCAGTATTTTARGTAAAACTAAAAAAGAATGCKATTTTWGCGTAGAAATAGTTTCTTAATAGAAACTATTTCTTGCTTTGCTAAAACTGAAGTGRCCTGAAAAWTTAAAGGAACTTTAGAAATCTTCAGAGCGMTGARGGCGGCGAATTWTCCCAATAATTTTTTGTAAACTTTTGGTYGTTTTTTCAAGATAGTTCTAATTACTTGCGGTAAAAAACTGAATAAAATTATTTGGTTTTTGTGCCAAATTCGAAGCTAAAATGGGTTTTCTAAATTTCCCTGCAAACCGATGAATGGGGTGAATTTTCTAGCAACATTAATTTTGTCATTTTTTGCTGAAAACACCGCATTATTGTCAAAATAGAAGAAAATCATCAGAAAATAATGCTTTTTCAGTCAGTTTTGTGATCGGTTTTGAGAAAACCTTAATGGTTTTTGGGGAAAAACGGTGGGAATTTATTTCGTTTTTGTCCCGAATTTGACACTCAAAAAAGTTTTATTAAATTCGAAGCTGGAAAGGGATTTTAAAACTTTTTACAAAGCGAGAAAGGATTTGAAATGTATTTCATAATTTTTCTCGGAAAATACCTTAAGATTGTCAGCATTTTTAGTGAAACTTTAGAAAATTGAGCATTTAGAAGAAAGAGTAACTTGGCCAAAACTGGAAAATTCTGAAATTTGAAGACATTTTAAAAATAGTATTAATAAATGGCCTTTAAAATAAATCTGAAAAAGTCATAACAATTTTCTCAAAAACGGAACTGAGTTACTGCGCCGCTCCGATGGGTTGGCGCACCAAACAATTTGCGCAGCACTGCGCCAACTCTTAAAAATTAACTGAGTTACCCAGGCCTATAACTTGGGTTTAATTATAATTGAAAAAGCCGACGGTATTTAATGTTTAATTATCTCATTCTGAATGCATTAATCCTGCTCAGTTTCTAAACGATCTCAATAGAATTTTCAGAGAAWAKAAAATCGAAGAGTATGGAAAAATTGGACCAAGYGACGGTTTTTTCGGTCAAATCAGCCGATTTTCCAACCGATTTTTCCGATRTTCCTTTGGTTCACATTTTCCGTTGCGATCCAAATTTTCTATCCAAATCCATATTTTCTGTGGTCTAATCAAATTTATTGAATGGTTGTTGCTCATGAGGCGTGCATACCCACGTTTAACTTTGTTTTTCCTCAATCAATATTTTAAGTTTTTTGAACAAATCATGGACAATTTTTCCGAATCGAACTGCATCATAAACCCGTACAGTGTAGGTGGAATTCGTTTTCCTTCTGATAAGATAAATCAGGAATTTCAACCTGGTTTTTCTGAATTGTTCGGACATTGTTTGCGACAGCAATGTTCTCCATTCTCGTGACTGGCTCTCATGGGGCGATTTTCTCCTGCTGGAGATTTTTGTAATCCGATGCTCGATCATGGCTGGCCACTCGGTCGGTTTGCTTTTTGTCAACCCGTCTTCGTCATAAACCATCTCGAGTGGAGCCACTTCAAGGAGCGCTTGTATGAGTGTCTCGCAGCCTTAACCAGGGGGGGTGTTTGGCATTTGAAATTCGATATTCCATCGTCGATTTTCGGCCGAAAATTTCTTCCAAATCGTCTGGCAACTATCAACTATCACCTCTTCACTAGATTTATGGCGTCAAGTTTGACTGTTTTTATCAGGACCAGAAAGAATATTAATTTAGGTAAAGTTCGACTAACTACTAAAGAGCTTGAATTTTTTGCTGTCTAAAAGTTCCTTGGACATGCAGTTTCCCGAAAAAAGAATGTTTTCGTATTTTTCGATTAATTCGCTTTGATTTGTCGCAGCTGAATCAGCAGACTGTTGTGACATCGGAAGACTTAAACGGATTTATCAACAACTCGCCCATCTACGTAACTTCTTTGACTGCCACCGAAAGTTTAAACAACAACCCCACAGGAAGCAGGTAGGAAATAAGTGAAACTTGCTACTGCTAGATGGTGCTAGATGAAAAATGAGATTAAATAACCAAATGGATTACTCACTTGCACGTTTTTTAAGCCTCTATAGGCACATTCTTCACGGAAAAAGGAGGTGTTTTAATGTGTTCTGATCACTTTTAGATCAGGCGGCGCTCTCGGAACCACCACATCAGTGGTGGCCGTGCATCGGAGCGCTGGAGGTGATAAATTCCGACCTCCGCCTCTTTTGGCTAACGATATCCGAGCCCCTGCAGCTCCTGAGCAGATCAGCGCTGTTGCGCTGCTCGCCAACCATATCGGACCTCAGAACAGGTAAATCGGCCGCTCTGATTGCAACGTTTCGCTTGCTATTTCTAAAGGCCAACCCACTCTACACGGTGATCAATCAGTAACAAAATTAACGACGGATTTCTGGGATCAAAATAGTGCGATTTAGCACAACATGCCTTAGAAGAAGAATCAACGGAAACAGCAATGCAGGTGGTCAAAGTAGTTTTTTTTTGGGAGTTTTTTACTAAAATTGCGCATTTGTATTTAGATTTGAAAGGGAGCACCAGCTCATGTGTGCAGTTTAGGAAAGGCGAACAGTATGGCCAGCACAAAGTCCGCATTTTGATCCTCTAGATTTTTCTGTTTGGGGACACCTGAAGCTTTTAGTGTATGAAGAACGTATAGATATCCGAGATGAATTATTTATAACAATTTAAAATGATGTGGAGACATTTGGGAATAAGGATCTTCCTTCATTAGAAGATCGTTAAATTCAAGTAAATCAACGTAACTTTGAACAACCAGGAAAACCCCTGAATACCAAATTTTATAAAAAACACTTGAACAAGACCCTTTAAAATAATCATCTTAACTCCCCCCGTATTTCTACTTCCGTTGATTTTTCTTTCGATTTATTGAGCCAATTATTCAAACTCACCTGATATGAAAGTAAAGCGTGGTCGGGCTGCGATCGATAAATCGTACGATTTATTGCGGACATCACCAACCCAAAAGGACAGAAGTAAAGTGTTATTTTTGCAGGGAAGGACCGGAAAGTCCGTCCGTGTACGGAGTCAGTGGCGCCGGGACGCGTCGATCTTCATCCCCGTACGCAAACGGACGTACCGAATTGCTCATCGGAGAAGACAATAACAAGTTGAAGACATCGACTGGATCAGTCGAGAGCAACAATAACAAGCTCAATATAGAAAACGAAATACAACAAAGGTAAGGAGAATATCGGCCAATACGGCATCCTTTTTTTTTAAGGGTTGTAGAAGTGTTCGTTCTCTTGCATCGCCTGCGTTTTTCAGTTCTTTGCAACTGAGGCGTTCAAAGTGTTTAAATATTCATACTCTCCGTGTGGCCATTAAAAGAAACGACGCCAATCTAAACCAGTATGCTCGGTCTTAAGCAAATAGGCTTGGAACTATTGGAAGCGAAAGGAAAGTGGCACAGAACGCAGCGTTTTCCTGTTGCTGCGTCCGTTCTTGTCATGTTTGTACATTGGTCGGAAAAACAATTACGCTAACGAGTTGAATTATCATAATTTGATTCATTGTGGATGGAAAGTTCCCACAATTAGAATCGGCGCAAAATGACGTTGCCGAAAAACTAGTGAGTCGTGATTTCACATCCTGTGCTTATTGAGTTTCAGCGCAAAATCAGCCAAACTTAAGTCTCGAAAGTCCAAAAGTTATTTGGTTCCACTTTTGAAGTCGCCCCAGTGATTTTTCCCTTGACCACTCTGGAAAATATAACGTAAAAGTCTCTGCCCAATAATTTGCTAGATATGGTCGGTGACCACCCCTAATGCAACACCCGGTGGTTACCAGATATGTAGAAGTTTCAAAATCAGGTCGTTTTTCAATGTTAGTTTCAATTTCAAATCGCTTTTGTTCAGGGTCGGTTCCTCTCAATTTCAGTTGTTTGCTGCAAACTGTACACGCTTTTAAACTGCATTTTTATGGCTGCACGCTCTTTAAACTGCAATTAAGTACTTTTCAAAAGGGGAAGGTTTTTACCGGTTTTTATGTCATTGCTTGCGCACTTATATTTTCCGCGTTTTCCACGATTTGCCCATTAGTCAGCAAACATAAAAATTCAGTGCTTCCTTATCTCCAAGTGCATTTTTTTTAATTGCTAAACATTTTTTTTCATGGAAACCGTAATTATTTTTCGTTGAAATCATTATTTTTTATTTTGCTATCAAAAAGCGCAGTTGTCAATAAATTGGAGTAACAAAATTCGTAATTTCTGTTAACAAAAATACAGTTGAGTCCGGATATAACGAACTTGAAAAATGAACTAAAAGTGGTTCGTTATATCCGGAGTTCGCTATAAGCGAATAATAATACAAAAACCCGTGGTGTATTTTATTTCGTTATTTTTACATAGAGTAGTAGATGTTAGTAGGTATGACTAAAAAGAACACAAAAAGATAAACAAAATTCAATTTGAAATCTACTTCATAAAGTCTGTAATCTTTGTTTGTACATTTCTGCTGCAAAAATTGATGTTATTTATGTAGTTTTCAAGATCACAAAAGGGCTCCCAGATATGATTAGGAACTTGGCGTGATTGTAGAAAATTCCGAGTTTCTTTTTTGTCCTTTCAGAAATGGTTGGAACAGCATTAGAGTCTACAGTAGAATACGTTTCACCTAAATCGTCATCTTTCTCATTATCGCTTAAAGCTGTAGATGAGGTTCTCTTGTAAGAATGCCATTATTAATGCTCACATATTCGAAGAAATTGAAAT